AGGGGGAGGGTCCTGCAAGTGCCCAGGCAGGAGGAGGTTCCTGCAGGTGCCCAGGGAGGAGGAGGTTCCTGCAGGTGCCCAGGATGGAGGAGGTTCCTGCAGGTGCCCAGGATGGAGGTTCCTGCAGGTGCCCAGGAAGGAGGAGGTTCCTGCAGGTGCCCAGGATGGAGGTTCCTGCAGGTGCCACCTGGGGCTTGTCCTGCTTGGGACTGAGGACAAGGAAACCACAACCTCCCCCTGCACGACGTGGCTTTGCCAACCTGGGCAACCAGTCCCCAACCTCTGGGACCTGAAACCCCCCCCTGGGGACGTGGGTGAGGGGCCTCCAAGCCCCCTGAGGTGCCAACCAGCCGTGGACCTGCCCTTCTCCTGGGACCTTCCTGCCCTTCTCCTGGGACCTTCCTGCCCTTCTCCTGGGCCCTTCCTGCCCCTCCTGGGCCCTTCCTGCCCCCCCTGGGGCAGGATGTGGGGCTGGTGGAGCCCCCAGAGCTCCAGCACCTCAGAGATGCCTGAGGAGCAGCCACAGGACAAGGGCTTGGGGGGTTTCCTGGCTCCTTCCAGGAGGACACGAGGGTGGGAAGGAGCTGGTGCTCCTTGTGGCTTCATTCTGCAGAGGGAAACCTGGGCAGCTGGAGGTGCCAGGGCAGGAGCATCTGCAGCATCCAGGACTGTCCCCTGGGGGACATCCCGACCCCCCCAAGTGTCCCCTCTGCTGCTGGGGGCTCTGATTTGCACTAGAGAAGAGTTTGTGCTGATGGGAACCTGAGGGACTCCTGCCCCTGGGAAGGAACAGCCAGCTCTGCTGTGGGTCCCCCCAGGTTGCTGTGGGGCTCCTCAGGCTGCTGTGGGTCCCCCCAAGGGTGCTGTGGGTCTCCCCAGGGCTGCTGTGGGGCTCCCCAGCTCTGCTGTGGGGCTCCCCAGGGTTTCTGTGGGTCCCCCCAGGGGTGCTGTGGGGCTCCCCAGGTTGCTGTGGGGCTCCCAGTTTGCTGTGGGTCTCCCCAGGTTGCTGTGGGGCTCCCCAGCTCTGCTGTGGGGCTCCCCAGTTTTACTGTGGGGCTCCCCAAGGTTGCTGTGGGGCTCCCCAGGGCTGTTCTGTTCTCCCCAGTTT